CTCAGGATCGTGCTCTTCTAACCACATGGCTGGCTGATCTGGTCTCCCCCTCCTTTTCCATTATGTTACTGTGTGTCAGCTGCTGCCCAGTAATTACCTTAGGCTGACTTTCACCCTGCTGGATTCGTATGAATATATCATGCCATCATCAGCTGGATGTATTGTCTTGAGGAAGGAAACATCATTTTGTGCATAGTAAATGAGTTGTTCTTGTAAGTACATATAGTCCAGCTGTTCTTGCTCACTCTGTCTGGTGCCAATATTTGCAACAGAGTGTTTTTATTTGGATATTGGCTTTTTATATATGTTCCTGAAGCCCTAATTCTTCTTCTATGTTTGAGCAAGAGAGCACATCAATATAAAATTTCTATGAATTTATTTAGTCTGTTGATTGAGAAGCAATAGATGTGACATCACCAGAGTTTTTGCTGTGGTAAGTGTACCCAAGCTATTTTATGCTGGCACTTCCCTATCTCCTACTGAATTTTCAGTCTTCTGCATGCTTCCACATTGAGGACCAAGCAAATCAACGTGGGCACAAGGAACCTAATGTGCAATCTGCAGTGGGGGTATCTCTGTCTGCACTAGTCAATGTGGGCTACTTTTAGTGTCTACGGAAATAAATGAAGGTTTCTATGGCAGGAGCGTAGAAATGTATCTTGGTTCAGGAATTGAGCTTTGGAAGGCGTCTGTTTCTTCCCTGTCTAAAAATGACTCTTGGTGACTAGCTCATGTGTGACTAGCATATGGGCAACTAATGTCAAGGGATTGATCTGTTCCATTTCCAGGCTTTTCCTTCTTTGCTCAGTTTTTCCACATCTCTTCAAGTGGCTTTTAAGTCAGCCAGTTTCTCACGCTGCTTCTGTTTTGAGAATCCAGGCTTGAGCAAAATTATCCACTTTTTTTTCTAGCTATTACTGAGAAAAGAAAGCACCCAAAACAAACGATCCCTGCCTCAAAGAAGACCATGCAAGCAAAAGTTGTGTGCCACCCTGAGAGTTTCTACTGGAGAACTAGAAGGATGTGGAGACTATTTTCATGTGCAACACTGTGTGCATGTATAAATCTTTCCAGCTGAGTCGTTCTGACTATTTCTGGCATGTTGTACGTGTTCACGGCCTAGAATGTGACATCAGGGATAAGGCTGCCTTTTTAAAGGTCTTGCTGCTTATCTCAGGAAAAAAAAAAAAGTCTCAAATGAAGTGTTGCAAGCATTACTGGAATTTGAAGGAGTCTGCTTTTGGTAGTTGCTTATTCAAATAGCAGTTGCTGGGATGGGCCACGTGCTGTGGTGGTTACTGAGGTTCTTCTGCAGTAGGTGTAGAATGGTGAGTTTATCTTTGCATTAAAAATTGAATTTTGTCACACTTCCTATAGACCAGGACTTAGTCCTTCTGCTTTAGGTTCTGCTTCTGAATTGCTCCTTAGTCAAGGCCTCTGCATGCCCCTCTTCAACTGTGTCAAGGCATGAGAATCAAGTTTCAGTGAAGATCAGCCCATCCAAATATTATGACCTGTAATTGGATTAATTTTCCATTAATCAGCGCGGGTCAAATAACACATGATAGTTGCAAAAGGGTGTACACTCATGGTACACTGAAATCCATCTGTCTTGCGAGCTGATGTGTTGGAACGGTCTGGGAGGTGGAAATGCCAAAGATTATTTATCACTGAGGAGTCAGGGCAGAGCTTTAAAAAAGGAAAATCTTGGCACCATGCAAACCTCATTTCCTTCCATCACTTGGTATTCAGCCTTAGGTCAAATTAATCTCTATTGAAATCTGCTGTACTTGCCACTAAATTTGTTGTCTCATCTAAAATGTATCTTTTCTCCCAGGAAAGGAGAGGAATGGAAAGCATATATACGATAAAATTTAATGCATACCAGTGAGGTCTTTATTGTAAGTTTTATTCAGTATTGTATTAAATACTCAGTGAGTATTTATTCAATATTAATTTTTGCATCTGTATATAATACTATGCAAGTAAATTGGTCTGGGTATATACTCTTCAGGAGCTTGTTGCCGTACAACAAACAGCTTTAAGACTCAGCCATCTGGTTAGAATTCAAAGTGGATGCCTAAAATAAACAGATGAATAAATAAATACAAGTTGTTCAAATTAATAGCATAAGAATTCAAGGAGAGAGTCTGCTTCTTTCAGGGTGTCTGGTCAAAGACTTTTTCCAAGGCAAACAGACAGAAAATAACAAAGGAGATCCATGAAGCAGGTAGGGTGCCCAGGGGCTGAGTGGATGTGGTGGGTGGACAGAAGGGCCATGCCAGGTACTAGAAGGTTCAATGGATAAGTATCCTACTTATCTCTCTGTCTGAAATCACCTAGGGGCTGCATGTTCAATTTAATCTTTCTACCATCAGTCTGTCTGAGATTTAATAGAAAGAAGGGAAAAAATACTCAGTAGTTGGTCTCTGGTCTTTAGCTTGATAGAGAGAACGATGTTCCCTGAATGAGGCACAGTGGGAGGGATGAGTAGCTAGAAAGAGATTGTACCTCCTGCCACTGAGCTATCTGTAGCTACTGCTGTTAAGGAGCTGTGAAAGAAAAAGAAATGCTAGGGGCAAATATAAAAGAGAATCTGAGGAAATGGATATAGTTTGCTAATCCTTTGTGCTCTTGGTGAGAATGGTTAATCTGTTGAGGAACGCAATGAGGTTGCTGGTCACACTTACTTATGAACAGGAGTTACTGAGGCGATGATTTGTAAAGCATTATGGATCAGTCTGCAAATTGTACATGTGGTCAGGTTAGCCAGGAGAAGTTGTTTCATGTGACTGATGTGACTGAGTCTGTATGTAAAAGTCCTTGTATGTGTGAAACCATGTTAAATGACACAAGGAATATTGCTGGCAGGTGCCAGGCTAATGTTAAGTTGTAGCACTGCTCAATTTTACTTCTGTATTGTGAATTTTCAATAATTCTCTATAAGAACAATGTTAATCAGAATGTTCCCTTAGAAGGTAGTTATTTTAATATTGAAGTTGAATTTATAAGTCTGTTCGTGGGTTCAGATAAGGGATTTTCTTTTCCTTGTTCCTTTAATTAAAAAAAAAAAAAAAAAGGAAAATAAAAAAGATAAGCAATGCTTTATTTTGTGTCTAAGGATTATTATTTTGGGAGCAGAGGTTTCTCTACTCACTTTTTTTTTTTTTTTTTTTAAACTATCTCTGTGATGGGTGACTAGAAAAGGAGAGGAGGTCCAGATAACAGTAGTTATGTAGTGCTGTATCTTATCTGGTGACAATGCCAAAGAAATAAAGCCAGATAGGAAATCTGATATCCTGTAGAACACAGAGCAGAAAATCTTTCCTAATAATTCATACCACAAGCTGAACAACGTTGGCTGAAGTCTACAGAAGTGGAGCTCATTTTGACATGAAGATTGGAGGACACCTGCTTCTATTCTTATCTATGATATGCTTTATTCACTGGCAGCTTTGAGCTATCAGTGTCAGAAATTTTCTCCGTTTGCGAAAAAGCAAAAATCTGATTCTTTTGTCTTTGCAGAACTAGCTGTAGTAGATGTTTGAAACTCTTCTGAGTTTCTTTTTGCTAGTTATGCAGTGCAGAGGCTTGACTATGTGGTCATGTGAAAATACACTGAGAATTAGTTAGCTGCCTCAGGGTGCAGGCATTGCTTTAACAGTCCTTTCCTATTTCCTTTGGTAAATTGTTCTAAGGACCTACTTTGATGTGTCTGCTGGATCCTTGCGGTCAAAGATACTGATCATTCAGGAAATTTCAACATTCAGTGCAAGCACGTATAGTTTATCTCCCCAGACACACTAAATCATCCATCATAGCATAGCCATAGTTCACATCATGAGGTTGTGAACCCTTCTAATCTGGACATGGTCCTGCCTCCTATTTGTAAATTCAGTTACTGCAAATCAAATGCACAACCTTAACTCAGATGTTATCATTTTGCCATTAAGAACCTAAATGTTACAAACATATAAGTTTCTTGGCTCTGTTATCTACCTGCTTAGCCTGCAATCAACACTTATTCTATTCAACCAGAATTTATTTCAAATGGAATTTAATTGAAGTTCCCTTCAAAAGACTGTTATTTCTCTGTGATTGTAAAGCAGAGCAGCTATTTCTGAAAGTGTAATTTATTTCCAAAAAGAAAAAAAAAATCTCAAAGTTAGCAATACAGGAATACAGCTTACACGTGAATTGATAGGGAGTGAATCAATTGTGGGTGATAAACTAATTGGAGGATGGTGTTTGTAGTGTTAAGCAGAGTACATGTGAAGTGAACCTATGTCTGAGACTGTGTGGAACTGCATTAGAATTTGGTTGCTGCATCTTTTGCTAGCCAGAAAGACACAGAATAGTTATTAGATTGAAAATTTGGCTTTCAAGAAGTTTCTACTTCACTATCCTGAATGTTTAATTTCTTGAGCAGATTGATTCATAGCCTGCCTCAAAATGTAGACCTTGCCTGTTCTGTACATGGAAGCTGTAAATTAGGAGAAATTTCATATTCTTTCTTACACTGGAGAGGGATGTAATCCTCACCATAAAAACAAATCACAGCATGGTGTTGAGTATAGTCACTATCTACCACAGCATAAGAATGTTAACTAATCTCATTTATCTTTCATTCTAACCAGTGATAGGAATTTACATGTCATCCATCTCCTGCTTCCTGTTGGGCTGAAAAAGCTGGGGGACTGCCAGCTTTCTCAAACGGCAGCCAAAGCGAACGTGTTGACAGCAGAATTAGGAAGCATGAAAATGTTTGAAAATGTTTTGGAACAGCCAACCTGTTTTTAGTCTCAGTGGTGCAGTTTAGGTTAAATTTGAGAGGAGGAGATTGTCTTATTAGCCATCCCTAGCAGTGAGGATGATAGATAGATGTGCAGTAGAATCCTTTTTTATTCTTTAATCTGAACAGATTTTAGTCCTTTATGAAGCAGCAGCTCTTCCTTTTCTTGCTCAGAGTTTATACTTCTCTCTCCCTCTTTGTCTTTCAGCTGTACAGTTCTACTGACTTTGGAAGAAAATGGCAGCTCATGCATGAGAGAGTCACTCCAAGCAGATTTTACTGGTGAGTTTTGCCTTCTGACTTTGTTTGCTTTCAGCATGTTATAGAGAGGTGAAGCATATTTAATTTGAAGAGATTAGTTGTTTTACCAGAACGCTAAATATGCTCTTGATTTTGGTTGTGATTAACTCATTCCATATTATGTATCTTGCAGAGCTATAGGTGAATAACTCAGTGTTTTTACCTCTTTCTTCTCCAGGATCAGCTGGTGTCTTCTAGAGATTAATGCAAGTCTTTTGGTAATTGCAGAATACCTACTTCTTTTGTATACCTGTTTACAGTAACAGAAAAACTGCCCCAGTACTTCAGTGGAAAATCTGTGATCGTTAGACCATCCCTTTTTCCACTCTTCTGAGAGCTCCTTTAACCTGCAACACAATCTTTGCACAGAGCCAGACTCTGACCAGTCTTCTTATGCAAGCCTTTGGGAGAAAGAATGACTCAGACTCTGTTTTGAATCACCCTCTGAGGAGCCAGTTTCTTTCTACTGACTAGTGAGAGCCCAGGATGTGCAAAGTGTTTGCTAAAAATTTGCTTTGTGACTATCTTTCTTTCCTCTTCCCAACTGTTCGTATCCAAAATTGGAAGAGCGTCTTAAAAGCAGAAGATGTAATATACTTAGTTCCTATCTCCAGGCTCCTCTATTTCACACGCTGCTTTTCTAAACTTCTTCACCAGTTGAAGGCTCAATAACTGACTTTAGAGAGAGAAAAGAAACCAGTGGTATTCTTCTGTAGTTGAATCTAGGATTTGGGGCTTGAATCAGTCTTAATATTGTACTACATGCTAGATAATGCAGTTTGTGAATATGTGAAAGTGCTGATGTACAGAATCTGTGAATAGTTAAACAAGTGCCTTGTACTTAAGGCCAAAAAAATGTGATTATTAAGGAGCCACAGACACCTATTTTGAAGAGTCAGTAACAAAAAGGACTTGGATGATTTAGGTATTGGCTCCTTATTTTGAAGAACAATGTAAATATTTTCGAGTCAAATCTGCATTCTTGATCATCATTAAGAACACCTAGAATACACGTCAAAATGTCTGCAGATGGAATTTGTAGTATTTCCATACCTTGCAATGGAGAAAAATGTCTCTCAGATTTTTCAAATTGTCTTGGTCATTCTGCAAGTCCCTTTGAACAGCTTTAGTTTCCCACATTTAAAAGATGGCTTTTTCGTTCTGTATCTGATTTGTCTCAATGTGCCTTTGGATTTTGGGCAGTCAAAGGAGATGCTTGACCATGTAGAAAAGGAATTTGTAAGGATTGTGAGTCTCATAGACCTGCAAAATATATCAAAGATCTGCACTCTTTCTGACCATATCATTGTTGACATTTTGGTAGTGAAGGAAAGTTGTATATATTCTCCAGGTTCTGGTGACAGGTGACCTATCAAAAATCTTCTGATTTCATCATTCATGCCTAGGGGCAGTTGACACAGATGAGCGTAGAACCTCTCCAAGTGTATACTTCTGTGGAATAGAGTAGCTGGTCCTATGGCATAGATGTACCCTACCCTTCAAATAGCACAGCTGAGCTAAGAGGAGTGACTTTCTTGGAAGAAAACACACAAGGGCTGACCTGTGAATAAAACAGTCTCTTTCTACAGGTGATGCTGTGACATTGTTTTTTTTTGTATGTGATTTTTTGTTTTTCCTTAATAATAATAATGGTTAATGGATTATCTCTGTCCACTTGTCTCCTAAAGATGTAGATTTTTCTGCAGTTTGCTTCACTTTTCATGCAGTCTCTTCACTGTGTAGTTTAAATGCTCTTTTTTTGTCACTACATTGACAAAAGCCTCTGTTTCAATTATCATCTTCTCTTGGAAAACATAAAAGTCTTCTGTTGTTAAAGCTGATATGGCATAGATCTAGAAATCTTAGAAATCTCACTCAGAAACAGTAGAATCCCATTGACAATACACTTTCCAAGAGAGTGGATTAGGTTTTTCCCAGATTGAGACAGATTTGAACCAATTCATAGTGCAGGGGTCAGAAATGTTGAAACTTTAGAACATAATAACTCCCCTTAACTGTCTAATTTTCTTTTTTTTCTTTTGTCCTTTCTTTTTAAAGCTGCAAACTGTGAAGACTTAGAAGCTCTGGCATATAAGTGTACCAGAAAAGAAATGCAAGAGCGCTTTAACTCAAAAATTTGATGATTTCTTTTTTATTAGATTTTGGAAGAGCGAGAAAGGAGTCATAGTTGTAAGTTTCAGAGCCGCTACTCAGTGGCCTTCATCAGCCTATTAACTACTCATTATCAAACCTGTTAATTAATTCAATTAACAGGTTTGACAATTCCAGGAAAGGTGAACTAATGATGGGAAAATACCAAAATCAGTGATTAGTTGCTTACTTGTGATGCTATATATTCACTTATTATCAGGGCCTCAGTGAACCTCCTCCATCAAATGGGTTAATCAAGACCAACACAGTTGGTCTTGTCTAAGGCAGCTTCTGTTTGCTTTTTTCCTCAAAACATGTTTTTTATCTATCTGACTGTGAGAATAATTTTGTGAGGACTGTAATCCTTACCTGGTTCATAGGATCAGTCAACCTGACAGGGAGAGGTCTTATTTTTCTCTGAGACTTTTCCAAATAATTATACCTTCCCTGAGAGAGCTCAAATAGAGAGACTGTAAGGCCAGGAGGAAATTACAATTGTATCAGAATTGTTAGGATGGAATGTGGATTTTTTTCACCCAGTCTAGTGAGCAAGAGCTCTTTGGTAGTCATGGACACACAAGTCATCCTGTGCATTTTGCTGTAGATCTGTCAGGCTGCACCTACAATGGCTCCATGCTGGTCAAAAGCAAAGTCCTAAGCTGCAATATTGGCCTGTGGCTTTTTATCCTGGCTCTTACTTTTGGCTTATTTTTTCCTTAGTCTCAGACTTCAGTGCTGATCACTGCATTCTCATTCCATATGGGGTATCACATGTACTGCAGTTTGTGGGACATTTCCCTCCACTTCCTGCATCTAGCTCTGAGTTTGTCCATATGCTGAGATTCTTATCTGGGCCACTTGTAGCTATAAAAACTAGGATTTGAGTTCTCTACTTCTGTAGTAATGATTCATTTGTTAGCTACACCCACTGATGGCAATGGCACAGCTTGAACAGAATGTGTTACTTGATATGATTACAGGAATCCAAATCTGGTTCCCATGTGCCTTGGCCTCAGATATTTTAATAATTTAAGATTCTGTAAGGCTGGAAATAGAAGCTTATGCTAATATGATACAGAAATTCCCAAATCTTTCATCACACAATGAAATGACTCAAGATAACGAACTTTGCACTCATGCTGATTCCAGTTAGGGACATACTCAGTATTCTTTTTTTAATACATATTTCTTCGGTTGCCTCTGGCCCCTGCTTTTTTTCCTCGCACTGTAATGTCACATTTTTGCTGATGTGTGGAATGTTATAAAAATTGGAGTCCATATTGTGTACTGTAGGAACTCTGGGGAGGTTTCCCTGACTGTAAAACACATCAGTTCTGTACTGACCAATTCTGTCTCTGTTCAGATAAGGACAATCAAGTCCTTTGAGTTCCCAAGTTGCTTTACTGCCTCTGTCTTTCTGTTGGTGGAATTGTAGGACTAACCAGATAGCAAGACAACTTGATTAATGGAGCAAGTCTTGTTGAGTTCTTAGCTGGACCATGGCTCTTTCATGTCCTGTTGGGTGACTCAAGATGCCTTTGCCTTCTTACCCCATAGGTAAGATCAAGATCAGAGAGCATATCTTTTCCTTGCTGGCTGTAATGGTTGAAGTACTCAAATGCTGTCATATTAAGTGTTGCATTATTGCATATCCATGCATTAATTATAAATACTCCATGATACTAGAGATTTAAAAGATACTTCAGTGGCTTATAAAGTCATTTGTTGTCTTATTATGTTATTCTTTAAAATGCAGAGTTCCACAAGGTGAGCTATGTTTTCTGGCTGATCAGCTAAATGGCTGTCAATATCATATGCTGTCCCATCTGTCTTTGGAGGCCCTGCCTATGTTTCCTGAGCAGGCACTGTGACCGCTACCCTGTGTGGATGTCATCCTGTCCTGCCACTCTCTAAGCTAATGAATGAAGCCTCTGGTTGTTTTGTACCTGTGAGTGCCAGTCCCAGTTATGTTGAACACCGGGGATTAGAAACTGGGAGAAAGAAAGAGATTGTGCTTCACCTTGGATCGTGTTTTGGAGTTGTGAGTTTTCTATCATAGTTGTTCAAGGTACAAGCCAGCAAGTTTCAAGGCAAGGTTTTCAGTCCTTTTCATTGTGCTTTGGATAGAAACAGTGATAAAGTTAGATGGTGTATTTTTGTGTGTTTGCAGCTTGAATTTTTGAAGACTATGGCAGAGGCTGATGTGGATATCTGGGAGCAAAGTAGCAGGAGATAAGGAAGTTGTATCTGTGTTTCATAAGGTTACGTATCTGCAGATGGGCAGGGGTTTGTTTTTATTCCTCAACTCTGTGGGAGTATTAATACTTCCTAATCTCAGTGCCAATTTGGGTTCCCGTGGACTGTATCAGGGGCAGTTCCAGAAGTGATCTTTGGATACAGCTAAGGTTAGCTTTACTTCACTTGTTTGCCAGCTATTAAATGGTTAGTTAAGTATGTGCATGTCTCTCCTGTAAATTCCACTAATCGTTAACTACCAGATGGTGTCATTGCATAGTGCTTGGGAAACATCTCAGAAGTTTTTACAGCCAAATTTAGTGTTAAGAAAGTACAGTTTTGTTGACATCCAATTGACTAGGAAGTGATCCTGCATTAGTGTTTTCTTGGAGTTAAAATTATACTGGACTTGGAGCTATGAATAAAATAAATCCAATTTGGCAGCCACTAACACTGCCTATAGCCTCACAGTGGCATATGCGCAGTGCTTTTTCACATACACCACGTTTTGAAGACTGAACAGGACCTATTTCTTCTATAAGCTGCTGTGATCTGATGACTCATTTGCCTGTGTTAAGGGACTCATTTATCACGTC